AAAAAAGTTAATATAATAAGTATATTCAAATAGTTTAATTAATCGTTCGGGTATCCGTGATCACCCTCTGTATATTAGGATTGTAATTAGGTATAGGTAAATTTAGAATTTCGTTATCTATTTTTAAGAAACCTGCTATTAAGTGTTTGTATTTGTAATTTTCATTATATATTTCAGTAGAAAAGTTCTCATTTGGTACGATTAATGAAGGAGGTTGGTTTTGTGTTAACCAAGAAGATATATTAGTTAATCTAGCTATTGGATATGGTTGATTTGTTATATTTTGTATTGGTGATTCAAAAGATGATAAATGATTATATTCTTTAAATATAGAATTATTTTCTTTTAGCCACTGACTTGCGGGTATTAATGTTGGTTGGAACCAGTTAGGAGAATCTTCTTGTTCTTGATTTAAAAAGGCTCTAATTAGACCTGAATATAGTTGAAGTGCATATTTGTTTTTAGAAAAGTTAATGAATCCTTTTAAGTATCGATAGTTGTATATGGATTAGGTCCTAAAGTTCAACCTAATGTACAATTCATATGTATTGGTAATAAGTTTTTTCGATATATTATAGGAATAGCATTTATTTCTTTTGGTATTAGAGATAGGATTGGTGGATATTGATGAGTCTTTTTAGATTTACAAGAAGAACATACAGCAACTTTTGTTTTACCTCAATTGTTTAAGCGAGTTACTATTTGTATATTTGGAAAGGCTATAGGAAATGTATATTCTTCTGTTGTATCATAATCAATCCAATTTGTTGTTTGGTTCATCATTAATATTGAGCAATATGCGTATGGTATGGAGGGATGATCGTATAAAATCGTTTCTTGAAATTCATTTAAAAAGTTATTAAGTTTACTGATATTTTTCATGGTTCGTAGTTTATTGTAGAAAAAGAAGAGGTATGTATATGATTTTGATTGTTTAATATTACATTTTGTGAATTTTGTATATTTTTGTTAGTTTGGTTTCGTTCTACATAGTTACCAAGAAGTGATGTGTTAAAAATATGTCGTCGTTGTTGTAATATTAGATTTGGTTCTATAGAATTCGAAAATGTATATTGTATCATGTAGATTTTTTTGATTTTGATTTGTTTTTTTATTATTATAGTTATATTTATTTTTTGTAATTTAATCAATTAAAAAATTTTTATTTTATTATTTATTATAATTTATTTATTTAATTTATATATGGTAATTAATTAAGTTAGTATTTTTTTTTGTTTATCGGTCTATCTTTTTTAGTTTAAAATTTTAATAAAAAGTAATTCAAATTGTTTTTTAATTTATTTGATTTATTTTTTTCTTAATAAATTTTTTTAATGATTTTTTTATTACACGATAAAATATTCGATCGCTACAGAGACCACTGATTGAAAATTTTTCAGACTTTGCGCCTTTTTCGGGTTTGTTTTTCGGGTTGGATGCATTAATTTTATTGTTTATTTTTTTATTTTTTTAGGAGAGTTAGAACGCTGCACACTGCAGCAATTACTGTGGGTTAACCTCATATTTCGGGGTTAGCGATGTATTTTCTTTCTTTATTCTTGTGATCTTAAGTGTTCATTTTGTTTTATTTTTTTTATTTTTATTTTTATTTTGTTTAATTCGCTATGTACCGTAGCAATCGAAAAAGATCCCCGCCTTATTTGATGTGCTGCAAATGATCGACGACAGTGTACAAACTAGACTTTAGTATATACCGGTTAATTATCTTTTATAAAAAAAAATCCGGATTTTTTAACAAAAAAAAACCTTAAAGTTATCCTGCATATATTTAAATTTTTCGGATTTATTGTATATGTTAAAATATATGGGAGGCGGTCAGTAGAAAAGGAGGAAATCTACTTTTTGGTCAAAAATTTTTTTATTAGTTTATTCTGCTGATCATGATCATGTGAACAAAACTAGCTTAATAACTAAAATTACTCAAAATTTGTAGATTTCCCCTTTTCTATTGACCGCCTATATATTAATAAAATAATAAATTTTTTTGAATTAGTTTTCGGTTATATTGATCAATGTATAAATAAATAAATAATTCTTATGATAAAATGTAAATAACAAAACTTTTGATGACAAACGAAAAAAAATTGTTACATTTTTGTTACGCAAAATTGATATGTTTCCGGCCTAAAAAAATTCCAGCCAATAAAATCCGGACAAATTTAAATTTTCCGGTTACAGATAAATATCCGATTCTAAAACAAAATTCCGGATTTTGAAATAAAAATCCGGTAAATTCGGTATTTTTATATTCTTTGAACTCTGATCGATGAATTACATTGCATTGTTATGCGTTGTACGACTTTGACAATAAAAAAGAAACTAGAAAAAAAAAAGCACTTTTTAATTTTCTAACGAAGCCTGACAATAAAAAAATATTAGACGTAGTTTGTAAGTATAAAGTTTGGCGCATTTAAATAAGTTTATCTGAAATTAAACCTGACATCCTATTTAACATATTAATTAATAATTATTCTCATAAATTTAATATATATTCAATTAGAAAAGCAAGTTTTTTTTATTAATTATTAGTATTTAATAATAATTTCATTGTAATTTAAACTCGAATTAAATTTTTATTTAATTAAAATTTAAAATTACAGTGTGTAAGTTATTTTATTAATTATTAGTATTCAATTATACTTCATATTGTAATTTAAACTCAACTAAATTTTTATTTAAAAAACTAAAGGGAGTAAGTAATTTTTATTAAATATCAGTATTCAATTATACTTTATATTGTAATTTAAACTCAACTAAATATTTTATTTAAAAATTAAAATATTACTAAAGATGGTAAGTTATTTTTATTAATTATTAGTATTTAATTATACTTTTTATTTTAATTTTTACTTAACTAAATTTTTATTTAATTAAAATGTAAACTTACAGCTTGTATGTTATTTTTATTAATTATCAGTAATTATACTTTTTATTGTAATTTAAATTCAACTAAATTTTATTTAAAAAAATAAAGGGAGTAAGTTATTTTTATTAACTATCGTATTTAATTATACTTTTTATTGTAATTTTAACTCAATTAAATTTGTTATTTAAAAATTAAAATATTACTAAAGATAGTAAGTTGATTTTATTAATTATTATTATTTAATTACACTTTTTATTGTAATTTAAACTCAATTAAATTATATATTTAAAAAACTAAAGAGCGTAAGTTATTTATTAATTATCAGTATTTGATTATACTTTTTATTGTAATTTAAACTTAACTAAATTATATTTAAAAATTAAAGAACGTAAGTTATTTTTATTAATTATCAGTATTCAATTATACTTTTATTGTAATTTAAACTCAACTAAATTTTTTATTTAATTAAATTTATAATCACAGTTGGTAAGTTATTTTTATTAATTATCAGTATTTAATTATTGTAATTTAAATTCAACTAAAATTTTATTTAATTAAAATTTAAAACTAAAGAGCGTAAGTTATTTTTATTAATTATTAATATTTAATTATACTTTTTATTATAATTTAAACTCAACTAAATTTTTTATTAAAAAACTAAAGAATGTAAGTTATTTTTATTATTTATCATTAATTATTGTAATTTAAATTCAACTAAATATTTTATCTAATTAAAATATAAAATTATAGTTCGTAAGTTATTTTTATTATTTATCATTAATTATTGTAATTTAAAATTAACTAAATTTTTATTTAATTAAAATTTAAAATTACAGAAAGTAAATTATTTTTTTAATTATTATTATTCAATTATACTTTAATTGTAATTTAAGCTTAACTAAATTTTTATTTAATTAAAACATAATATTACAGATGGTAAGTTATTTTTATTAATTATCAGTATTTAATTATGCTTTTTATTATAATTTAAATTTAACAAAATTTTTTATTAAATTAAAATTTAAAATTACAGTTGGTAAGTTATTTTTATTAATTATCAGTATTTAATTATACTTTTTATTGTAATTTAAACTCAACTAAATTTTTTATTAAAAAACTAAAGGACGTAAGTTATTTTTATTAATTATCAGTATTTAATTATTGTAATTTAAATTCAACTAAATTTTTTATTTAATTAAAATTTAAAACTAAAGAACGTAAGTTATTTTATTAATTATTATATTTAATTATACTTTTTATTGTAATTTAAACTCAACTAAATTTTTTATTAAAAAACTAAAGGGTGTAAGTTATTTTTATTATTTATCAGTAATTATTGTAATTAAATTTAACTAAATTTTTTATTTAATTAAAATATAAAATTATAGTTCGTAAGTTATTTTTGTTAATTATCAGTATTTAATTATACTTTTTATTATAATTTAAATTCAACTAAATTTTTATTTAATTAAAATTTAAAATTATAGAAGGTAAGTTATTTTATTAATTATTATTATTCAATTATACTTTAATTGTAATTTAAGCTTAACTAAATATTTTATTTAATTAAAATTTAAAATTATAGATGGTAAGTTATTTTTATTAATAATCAGTATTTAATTATACTTTTTATTGTAATTTAAAACTCAACAAAATTTTTTATTTAATAAAAATTTAAAATTACAGATAGTAAGTTATTTTTATTAATTATTAGTATTTAATTATACTTTTTATTTTAATTTAAACTCAACTAAATTTTTATTAAAAACTAAAGAACGTAAGTTATTTTTATTAATTATCTGTATTTAATTATTGTAATTTAAATTCAACTAAATTTTTATTTAATTAAAATTAAAACTAAAGAACGTAAGTTATTTTTATTAATAACCAGTATTTAATTATACATTTTATTGTAATTTAAACTTAACTAAATTTTTTATTTAATTAAATTTATAATCACAGTTGGTAAGTTATTTTTATTAATTATCAGTATTTAATTATTGTAATTTAAATTCAACTAAAATTTTATTTAATTAAAATTTAAAATTACAGTTGGTAAGTTATTTTTATTAATTATTAGTATTTAATTATACTTTCTATTGTAATTCAAACTCAACAAAATTTTTTATTTAATTAAAATTTAAAATTACAGATAGTAAGTTATTTTTATTAATTATTAGTATGTAATTATACTTTTTATTTTAATTTAAACTCAACAAAATTTTTTATTAAAATACTAAAGGACGTAAGTTATTTTATTAATTATCAGCATTTAATTATTATAATTTAAATTCAACTAAATTTTTTATTTAATTAAAATTTGAACTAAAAGAAAGTAAGTTATTTTTATTAATTATTAGTATTTAATTATACTATTTATTATAATTTAAACTCAACTAAATTCTTTATTTAATTAAAATTTAAAATTACAGTTCGTAAGTTATTTTTATTAATTATCAGTATTTAATTATACTTTTATATAATTTAAACTTTATTTTTTATTTAATTAAAATTTAAATCACAGTTGGTAAGTTATTTTTATTAATTATCAGTATTTAATTATACTTTATATTGTAATTTAAACTCAACTAAATTTTTATTTAAAAATTAAAATATCACTAAAGACAGTATGTTATTTTTATTAATTATCAGTGTTTAATTATTTAATTATACTTTTTATTATAATTTAAACTCAACTAAATTTTTCATTTTATTAAAACTTAAAATTATAGTTCGTAAGTTATTTTTATTAATTATTAGTATTCAATTATACTTTATTATAATTTAAACTCAACTAAATTTTTATTTAAAAATTAAAATATCACTAAAGATGGTATTTTATTTTTAATAATTATCAGTATTTAATTATTGTAATTTAAATTCAACTAAATTTTTATTTATTTAAAATTTAAAACTAAAGAGCGTAAGTTATTTTTATTAATTATTAGTATTTAATTATACTTTTTATTATAATTTAAACTCAACTAAATTTTAT